AGTCCGAGCCTTAGCTGAAGTTTATCAGTGTGGGAGAGTCCGAGCCTTAGCTGAAGTTTATCTGTGTGGGAGAGTCCGAGCCTTAGCTGAAGTTTATCAGTGTGGGAGAGTCCGAGAGCCAGTTTGGTGTAATTGTAACAATCTAAGCCGTTTAAGAGAGGTGGCTTGTATTGAAGGTAGTGTGGATACGCCTTTGTACAAAACATGCAGTGGAGTGGTAGTTCTGCCTTGGAAAGTTGGGAAAAGGGTTCATCCCGGGAGATTAGAGCAGAGATTAGACCAGTCTCTTGCTGGCGACCTGACCGAAGGCTGAAGGTGTTGGTAGTCCTAACATGAGTCGTCTGGTCTTGAACTAAAGAGGAGATTTGATTCTTTGTTCATAATTGACGTTAAATTAATCTACGTACTTGATTAAAAAGGTTATTATAATTACAGTTACTTTAATACATGAATTTCTCAAAAGTGATAATTTAAATACAAAGCGAAGTTGGTGATCCTTGCTTACACACCTCTGCTCTAATCTCCCGGAATAAACCCTTCCCCAACTTTCCAAGGCAGAACTACCACTCCACTGCATGTTTAGTACAAAGGCGTATCCGCACTACCTTCAATACAAACCACCTCTCTTAAACGGCTTAGATTGTTACATACTGAAAATATATCAGAGAAGCAGAATGAGTTTACAGAATCTGCCTTGGATAATATGCTTGAACGAAACTAATCCAATGACCAGCGAGTAAGGGTCACTGCTGCCCTCTGACCCTTGCAGCGACCAGACAGGTAAACATACTCACCCGACATATAACTCCTGGGTTGCCTTACCTTGAGAAATTCGATCTAGTCAGCTTCAACTTCAAACAGATTTTGGGGATGTCATTCCACCACACCCCTGAGGCCGGAACAATGGATCCCAGACACACACACACATTATGATCTCATCAGCACATCTCTCCGTGAGTGGCTTGGGGCTCCTGGTACACATATTGACCCTCAGCACATCTCTCCGTGAGTAGCTTGGGGCTCCTGGTACACATATTGACCCTCAACACATCTCTCAGAGAGTGGCTTGGGGGGCTCCTGGTACACATATTGACCCTCAACACATCTCTCAGGGAGTGGCTTGGGGGCTCCTGGTACACATATTGACCCCTCAGCCCATCTCTCAGAGAGTGGCTTGGGGGGCTCCTGGTACACATATTGACCCCTCAGCACATCTCTCAGGGAGTGGCTTGGGGCTCCTGGTACACATATTGACCCTCAACACATCTCTCAGGGAGTGGCTTGGGGCTCCTGGTACACATATTGACCCTCAACACATCTCTCAGGGAGTGGCTTGGGGCTCCTGGTACACATATTGACCCCTCAACACATCTCTCAGGGAGTGGCTTGGGGGGCTCCTGGTACACATATTGACCCTCAGCACATCTCTCAGGGAGTGGCTTGGGGGGCTCCTGGTACACATATTGACCCCTCAACACATCTCTCAGGGAGTGGCTTGGGGCTCCTGGTACACATATTGACCCTCAACACATCTCTCAGGGAGTGGCTTGGGGCTCCTGGTACACATATTGACCCTCAACACATCTCTCAGGGAGTGGCTTGGGGCTCCTGGTACACATATTGACCCTCAACACATCTCTCAGGGAGTGGCTTGGGGCTCCTGGTACACATATTGACCCTCAACACATCTCTCAGGGAGTGGCTTGGGGCTCCTGGTACACATATTGACCCTCAGCACATCTCTCAGGGAGTGGCTTGGGGGGCTCCTGGTACACATATTGACCCCTCAACACATCTCTCAGGGAGTGGCTTGGGGCTCCTGGTACACATATTGACCCTCAACACATCTCTCAGGGAGTGGCTTGGGGCTCCTGGTACACATATTGACCCCTCAACACATCTCTCAGGGAGTGGCTTGGGGCTCCTGGTACACATATTGACCCTCAACACATCTCTCAGGGAGTGGCTTGGGGCTCCTGGTACACATATTGACCCTCAACACATCTCTCAGGGAGTGGCTTGGGGCTCCTGGTACACATATTGACCCTCAGCACATCTCTCAGGGAGTGGCTTGGGGCTCCTGGTACACATATTGACCCTCAGCACATCTCTCAGGGAGTGGCTTGGGGGGCTCCTGGTACACATATTGACCCCTCAACACATCTCTCAGGGAGTGGCTTGGGGCTCCTGGTACACATATTGACCCTCAACACATCTCTCAGGGAGTGGCTTGGGGCTCCTGGTACACATATTGACCCCTCAACACATCTCTCAGGGAGTGGCTTGGGGCTCCTGGTACACATATTGACCCCTCAGCACATCTCTCAGGGAGTGGCTTGGGGGCTCCAGACACAAGTATTGTCGTTATGGTGGCTGGGCGGGGAATGGTGGGTAAATATTTGCCAACAAACGATAACTTTGTACTGGTGAACTTTCCCGCGCCAGCTGTTAGCTTTATTGTCGCCAGCATGTGTTGTCTCTCTCGCTCGTGCCGCTGCTGCTATTGCTGCTGCTGCTGCTGCTACTGCTGCTGCTGCTGCTATTGCTGCTGCTTCTGGTGCTACTGCTGCTACTGCTGCTGCTGCTGCTGCTGCTGGTGCTGCTACTGCTGCTGGTGCTGCTGCTGCTGGTGCTGCTGCTGCTGGTGCTGCTACTGCTGCTGGTGGTGCTACTGCTGCTACTGCTGCTGGTGCTGCTACTGCTGCTGCTGCTGCTGGTGCTGCTGGTGCTGCTATTGCTGCTGCTACTGCTGCTACTGCTGCTGCTGCTGCTGCTACTGCTACTGCTGCTGCTACTGCTGCTGCTGGTGCTGCTACTGCTGCTGGTGCTGCTACTACTGGTGCTGCTGCTGCTGGTGCTGCTGCTGCTGCTACTGCTGGTGCTGCTGCTACTGCTGCTGGTGCTGCTACTGCTGCTGATGCTGCTACTGCTGCTGCTGGTGGTGCTACTGCTGCTGCTGATGCTGCTATTGCTGCTGACGCTGCTGCTGCTACTGCTGCTACTGCTGCTGCTGCTGCTGCTGATGCTGCTACTGCTGCTGCTGATGCTGATGCTGCTACTGCTGCTGGTGCTACTGCTGCTGGTGTTGCTGCTGCTGCCGCTGCTGCTTCTAATGATGCTGCTGTTCCTAAAGTTGCTTTTATTTCGTTTTTGGCAGATTAAAGTGATATTATTTTAAAGTCTGTAAAAAGTATACCTTAAGATGTTGCTATTGTAATATTCGTATTTCAGATCAAAGGATTCATTATAGTTAAACTTACAGATGATCAGGCAAGCAAAGGAAATTGAGACAAAGATACAAACTGATACAGAGATACAAACTACATATGCAGGCGATGAGTCACAATAACGTGGCTGAAGTATGTTGACCAGACCACACACTAGAAATTGAAGGGACGACGACGTTTCGGTCCGTCCTGGACCATTCTCAAGTCGATTGTGCTGCTGCCCCAGGAGCTGCCAGGAGCCCCAAGCCACACAATCGACTTGAGAATGGTCCAGGACGGACCGAAACGTCGTCGTCCCTTCAATTTCTAGTGTGTGGTCTGGTCAACAAACTTCATGTACCTTTTTACCTCGTCTATCAATCCGACAGCTGGTGGAGCTGCGGCGAACCACGACCAGGAAGCTATCATGGTGACAGTTTGTATCCTTAACTGAATTTCCTTTCCTTGCCTGATTATCTGTAAGTTCAATGAATCCTTTGAACTATGAATATTACAGTAGCAACATCTTATGGTATATTTTTTACAGGCTTGAAAATAATATTAATTTGCTGAAAGATATTTCAAGACAGGATACTGGTAATAAATGGTACGAGATCATCTACAGAAATGAAGCTCCATGAGTGACAATTTCGAAACTCCTTGTTTTCTTTCTTAATGAAACTGCATAATTGTTATTCCTTAAACTTCTTCAGTAGTGTTACTGAAGCTCCTTGCATAGCCGTTGAAAAGCAGAGGTGCAATTGGTACTCTGACAGAGAACTCTATCAACATCAGATACAACCGAGACTGTTCAACACGCTTCCACTACACATAGAAGGCATAACTGGCCGACCCCTCACAGTGTTCAAGAGAGAACTTGATAAGCACCTCCAAAGGATACCTGATCAACCAGGCTTTGATTCATACGTCAGGCTACGAGCAGCTGCGCCCAACAGCCTGGTTGACCAGTTCATCAACGAGGAGGCCTGGTCGACGACCGGGTCGTGGGGACGCTAAGCCCCGAAATCATATCAAGGAAAGGCAAGGTAAGGTAAGATATCCCTTCAGAAAATCCCCACTTACTTTTGTCTGAAATACGCTCCTTAGATCGTCTTAATTTTCTTCTTTGGATCTCCTTAAACTCCCTCCTTAATTCTCCTTAATCTTCCTCTTTATAATATTCTTAAACTTCCTTCTTAAATATTCTTAATCCTCCTCCTTAAATCTCCTTAAGCTTCCTAGTGAGAGATCTCTTGAAATGCCTATAATCTTCCGAAACACCCTCCTCTGTCTCCCACACACACACACACACACACACACACACACACACACACACACACACACACACACACACACACACACACACACACACACCAACACTCCCACACACACACACACACACACTTGTCTTTATCACATCTGAAACTCTCTGCGTCGCTCTATTAGAAGTCGCTCAATGGTCCTCATTAAACACCCTGATGACACATCTCACCTTACTTACTACGTTAATAATACACAACGTCAGTCACGGCTCAGACGGACCTCGACGTGACAGTGAGGGAGGGGGAAGCTGCCTCTCCACGAGTCCCGGAACTGTCACACCAAAGGGCCTTTGCCCTCAGTCTTGAAATAAAAGTCTTGAGACGAGATTCTCGGGTAGTTTCTTGCCTCAACTGAATGTAGAATGAGACATCTGAATGGTGCATCTGTCATTCAGATGTCATCATTCTGAAGGATGACATCTGTCTCATTCAGAATGACTATGAGTGAGACATTTGTGGCAGGAAATGCACCATGTCCCCGGTGAAGCGGGAAGTTCACCCTCTCCCAATGAATGGGGGAAGGAATAGGCAAGTGGATGCGGTAAGGAACTCAATGATCCAGCAAAGGAGAGACGCAATATGATCACATGTGTGAGAAGTGTCACATGTGTGTGAAGTGTCACATGTGTGTGAAGTGTCACATGTGTGTAGTGCCACTTGTGTCAGGAAAGGTAAATGCAAAGGAAGGTGAGTGAGTTGACTGGGGAGAGTGAGAGTACTCAAGGTTGCAACTATGGAAACATGAAGAGCGTATGATGAGAATGATAGAGGCACCATAGTGCAACGATGAGGCTCAAGAGTGTCAGAATGAGGCTTCAGAGTGCCAGAATGAGGCTTCAGAGTGCCAGAATGAGGCTTCAGAGTACCTGAATGAGGCTTCAGAGTGCCAGAATGAGGCTTCAGAGTACCTGAATGAGGCTTCAGAGTGCCAGAATGAGGCTTCAGAGTGCCTGAATGAGGCTTCAGAGTGTCAGAATGAGGCTTCAGAGTGCCAGAATGAGGCTTCAGAGTGCCAGAATGAGGCTTCAGAGTGCCAGAATGAGGCTTCAGAGTGCCAGAATGAGGCTTCAGAGTGCCTGAATGAGGCTTCAGAGTGCCAGTATGAGGCTTCAGAGTACCTGAATGAGGCTTCAGAGTGCCAGAATGAGGCTTCAGAGTGCCTGAATGAGGCTTCAGAGTGCCAGTATGAGGCTTCAGAGTACCTGAATGAGGCTTCAGAGTGCCAGAATGAGGCTTCAGAGGGCCAGAATGAGACGCTATAGTGAGTTGGCATGGCGGACAAAAACACAAGAGTTGGCACTGGTGACTCAAGGAGCGGCACTCAACACAAATTGGAAGAGATAACTTGAAAATGTGAATGAATTGAGAAGACAGAACATTAAACACCTGCCTGAAGAAATATGAACCCGTCTGTTGAAATATATAAACGTTGTATTTGAGGCAGTGGGAGAGATAAGAGTATCCGCGAGTGGGAGAGATAAGAGTATCCGCGAGTGGAAATGGGTTGAGAGTGGACAGAATTAGTGTCTTGGAACAGAAAATGTTTTTTCCCTTATTTCTTTGTATACTTCTAGTAACAACTAGACGATAAAACGTGACACAAAGCTGAAAATGTACCAAGTGAAAGGGTCGGTTCTCTTCCCCCTCTCCTGTTCTCTCTCTCTCTCTCTCTCTCTCTCTCTCTCTCTCTCTCTCTCTCTCTCTCTCTCTCTCTCTCTCTCTCTCTCTCTCTCATTATTAAATACAGTTAATAATTCCATGCTGAAGTGATAGGGGAGGTGAGGCCAACACTGGCGAGATTGTGGTAATAGACGCCTGGACCAAGCACCTCTTTGTCATATATATTTATATATATATATATATATATATATATATATATATATATATATATATATATATATATATATATATATATATATATGTCGTACCTAATAGCCAGAACGCACTTCTCAGCCTACTATTCAAGGCCCGATTTGCCTAATAAGCCAAGTTTTCATGAATTAATGTTTTTTCGTCTACCTAACCTACCTAACCTAACCTAACCTAGCTTTTTTTGGCTACCTAACCTAACCTTACCTATAAATATAGGTTAGGTTAGGTTAGGTAGGGTTGGTTAGGTTCGGTCATATATCTACGTTAATTTTAACACCAATAAAAATAAATTGACCTCATACATAGAGAAAAGGGTTGCTTTATCATTTCATAAGAAAAAAATTATAGTAAATATATTAATTCAGGAAAACTTTGCTTATTAGGCAAATCGGGCCTTGAATAGTAGGCTGAAAAGTGAGTTCTGGCAACTAGGTACGACATATATATATATATATATATATATATATATATATATGTCGTACCTAATAGCCAGAACGCACTTCTCAGCCTACTATTCAAGGCCCGATTTGCCTAATAAGCCAAGTTTTCATGAATTAATGTTTTTTCGTCTACCTAACCTACCTAACCTAACCTAACCTAGCTTTTTTTGGCTACCTAACCTAACCTTACCTATAAATATAGGTTAGGTTAGGTTAGGTAGGGTTGGTTAGGTTCGGTCATATATCTACGTTAATTTTAACTCCAATAAAAAAAAATTGACCTCATACATAGAGAAAAGGGTTGCTTTATCATTTCATAAGAAAAAAATTATAGTAAATATATTAATTCAGGAAAACTTGGCTTATTAGGCAAATCGGGCCTCGAATAGTAGGCTGAGAAGTGAGTTCTGGCTACTAGGTACGACATATATATATATATATATATATATATATATATATATATATATGTCGTACCTAGTAGCCAGAACACACTTCTCAGCCTACTATGCAAGGCCCAATTTGCCTAATAAGCCAAGTTTTCATGAAATAATGCTTTTTCGACTACCTAACCTACCTAACCTAACCTAACCTAACTTTTTCGGCTACCTAACCTAACCTAATCTATAAAGATAGGTTAGGTTAGGTTAGGCAGGGTTGGTTAGGTTCGGTCATATATCTACGTTAATTTTACCTCCAATAAAATAAAATTGACCTCATACATAATGAAATGGGTAGCTTTATTATTTCATAAGAAAAAAATTAGAGAAAACATATTAATTCAGGAAAACTTGGCTTATTAGGCAAATTGGGCCTTGCATAGTAGGCTGAGAAGTGCATTCTGGCTACTAGGTACGACATATATATATATATATATATATATATATATATATATATATATATACAATACATACAGTATAACAGTATAGATAAATTAAATAATTTAAATATAAAGATTAAACATAATATCATTGAGACCATTCAAATGAGTTTTAGGTCATGAAGGAGATTCAGGGATTAGCTGCGATCAAACTTACTTTGCTCACACACAGCTCACGTAATAGTTAATTGACTTCAATATGATTTAAATCGCTGGTAAATTTAGTCATTTCTCTGTTAAAACAACAAAGAGTCCTTGATGATTACTTGTTATATTATATCAATATCTTAGTCAAAATGTGAAGCAAATTAAACAAAATACTCGTAGACACAATTTGATCCTTTGTGATAGAGTTTATATCCACCAAAGACAAATCTCCAACATCAGTTAAAATGTTCGAAATGCATGAACATTTACTGTATAGTGTTGTATAATTAGCAGTTCCAGCCAAAAAGTTTTAGCAATTAGTTAATCCGAATATAATGATAACAACAGTGATTACTTTTTTTAAGCTGGTGCAAGCAATTGTTCGCTGTTTAAAAAGAGTTTATCGTTTCGTATGCTAATTACATGCTAATGATATGCTAAGCATATGCCAATTATCCGATTGTAATGATACCTCCAGGTTTATTATTTACTTGTTTTAGCTGACTTAAGCAGTTATTGATTCATTTGAACCATCGGAGCCTCGAACCGAGGCTCCGATGCCTCGGCTCGTTAATTGTATTAATGCCACCTAATTTTTAACGAAATGGACGACTCCGTAACAAATTGCGACGTATCAGGTGGAAGATCGGTGCTGCTGGTACTTGGAGTTCACATGTCTACACAAAGCTTCCGTAAGAGGTCCTCCTTAACAATGGTATTGTTTACGTGTAATGTTCTCAAGACACCTTTAATGGTATTGAAGACAGCGGCGACGAGGCGTGTCTCGGTGGTGTTCACATAGCTTGGTTCCTCCCGCCTCAATCTTGCCTCTCATCTCACTCATAGGGGTCGTTCAGAGCACCGCCACTACTCATGTGAGTCGTTCAGAGCAGTGAGAGCACCCTCACCACCCTTCACAAGGACCTCTGACAGCCCCACCACCATCCCTCACAAGGACCTCTGACAGCACCACCACCACCCCCTCACAAGGACCTCTGACAGCCCCACCACCATCCCTCACAAGGACCTCTGACAGCACCACCACCACCCCTCACAAGGACCTCTGACAGCACCCCCCACCATTCCCGCACGGACCTGGAACACCTGGACCCTGCAGACGCCCCCTCACAAAACAACCAGTATCGCGGACAAATTTGCCGTTGTGGAAAATGAAGCTTCTTCGGCTTCATTTTCCGTTCGAGCGCTTTTAAATGGGACTCGCGCCCTGAACCCATGCTGCCTCGTGACTGTGGGCTTTAAGAAGCAATTCCAATATCACTCCATAAACCACGGAATCCAATTACCCGCTTACCTTCGTTTGGCTTTTGTTGATGTCCATTTAATGTTCTTATTCGTATCAGGAACTGCTTGGTAAAGTGAGCGAGGAGACCAAAGACATAAGAGCTATACAATATACATAAATATTATATGTGTGTGTTTGAATACTGGCTTTGACCTTACCTGGCCCTGGCTTGGGCCTGGCCAGGTCAGTGATAGTGGTGTCTATAGATGAAGCTGAGGTCTGGACTGTGATTTCCAACACGGAGCCTGCCTCCAGATGGACTCTTGTTTTGACACACTTGTTTACCGCGCGCTGCTGCCAGGAGCATACAAATCTTTGCGGTCCCCAGTGGCGGCACAGTTACGGCCACCAACTTGCACGTTCCTCTAGCAGATTTACTGAAATTTGAGGGGTACAGAGATGGAGAGAGAGGGGTAAATAGAGGGGGAAAAAGGGAGAGAGAGAGAGAGAGAGAGAGAGAGAGAGAGAGAGAGAGAGAGAGAGAGGGGTGAAAGAGAGGGAGGGGGGAGAGCGTATGGTGGGCGGAACGAGACGAGGCAAGACAAAGGCTCATGCCCAAGTGTTGATCTCCCGTTCTCCTGGAACATCCGCCTTGGGAACTCTTGACAAGGGCATTCCACTGGGAGTTCTTGACAAAGGCATGCCACTGGCAGCTCTTGACAGGGGCATGCCACTGGCAGCTCTTGACAAGGGCATGACACAGGGAACTCTTGGCAAGAGCCTGCCACTTGGAGCTCTTGACAGGGGCATGCCACTGGCAGCTCTTGACAAGGGCATGACACAGGGAACTCTTGGCAAGAGCCTGCCACTTGGAGCTCTTGACAGGGGCATGCCACTGGCAGCTCTTGACAAGGGCATGACACAGGGAACTCTTGGCAAGAGCCTGCCACTTGGAGCTCTTGACAGGGGCATGCCACTGGCAGCTCTTGACAAGGGCATGACACAGGGAACTCTTGGCAAGAGCCTGCCACTTGGAGCTCTTGACAGGGGCATGCCACTGGCAGCTCTTGACAAGGGCATGACACAGGGAACTCTTGGCAAGAGCCTGCCACTTGGAGCTCTTGACAGGGGCATGCCACTGGCAGCTCTTGACAAGGGCATGACACAGGGAACTCTTGGCAAGAGCCTGCCACTTGGAGCTCTTGACAGGGGCATGCCACTGGCAGCTCTTGACAAGGGCATGACACAGGGAACTCTTGGCAAGAGCCTGCCACTTGGAGCTCTTGACAGGGGCATGCTGCTGACAGCTCGCAGCGTCCTCTGCCTAATACCCCCGCCAACTCTAAGCTTTTCTCCGTCAAGGCAACCATGAACAACTTCATAGACTGAAGAAATCCTATTACGAGATTGTGTGTGTGTACTTACCTAGATGCACTTGCAGGGTCGAGCTCGGCTCCTAGCCCCCGCCTTCCGAATGTTCTTAGATGGATGCAATGACTTACTCGTAATGACTGTTCCTCGAAGCTCCAAAACTGTCCTACTACAAAATGCTGGCGGCTCGCGAAATTGACTATAATGCCCCGGTTTTCTGTCCGTGAGTCCTCTGGTTGGTTAGGATAAGGCACTATAGTACGACCGTTTCTTGACGTTGGGAACGCTGGCGAGAGTGGGCTTTCGTGCTCT